ACCAGGCAGAATGGTGTCACGGGTCATTTATGGACCCAGTGATGTAGACTACATGCTACCATAGGACAGACATTTTCAGTGGAGGCAATATCATCCCCAAGTGGGTGAAAATTGGTCCTTGGGGGCAAAAAAAAAAAATCTTTTTTTTTAATGTATAAAGGACAGATATATGCATATAGTACATAAACATATATATATAATATCTCTCTGGTATTAGAATTTCACGGGGAGAATGTCTAAAATGCCTCTTTATGGGGGGCAATAATAAAAGAAACATTGAGAAACTGCTCTAGGTGTTACAAAAGAAAGAGAATCAACATTTATGGACAGGCTGTTAATGTGCCAGGCATAGTACTGAGCAGTTTCATGCATCATTTTATTTAATCCTCAAAAATAGTCATTTATGGATGAGGAAACTAAACTTAAATAACGTGCCCAAAGCTGCACAGTTCATAGGTAGCATAGCTGAGGTTTGAGGCCAAGTCTGTTTCCAAAGACTTGCTCTTCCCATTAAACCAGGCCGCAAAATCAAAATCAAAATCAGTGCAGAGATATCTGAGTCATTATCTCTACCCTCAGGAATTTACCCTGTTGCTGGAGAACAAGAACAGGAAAATAAATGATTGACTGACAATACATATGTGTATGTCATCACATTGTCTCTACCTTGTGATGTACACATAGAACATCTGCTTCCTGCTGCATTTGTGACTTAGTCTATAGTTGTTTGAAGGAAATCCATTTGCTGGGGGAAGAAAACGGATAAGAAAAAGAAACCCTAGTGACATTTACCTCCCCTACTTCCTCTCTCTACTTCCTTTCTCTGGGCTACACCCAGTGTGATCATCGTCACTCCCAAACTCTGCACATTCTAGGTTTTTCACCAGCATTCTGCAACTTGCCCCTTGGGAAGAATGTCTTGGGGTTAGGGAATTCACTGATACAATTTTGGGCAGAGCACTAGTTTGGAAGGTAGCAGATTTCTAGCAGTTACTCTGACATTCTCTGCCTTACATACAGCCAAGTACCAGCTCTGCGTAGGGTCAAGTTCCAGTTCATTCTTGAAGAAGGTGAGAGGGGACTCTGAGCCATCTCCACCATCAACGCCAGCTCTTCTCCAGACTGTCCGAGTTTCCTTGCTGGATGTAGATGCACTCGTGGTTGAAAGTGTTGAAATGGTGTTGAAAGGTTGAAAACTGTTACTTAGGTTGACTTTTCTCCTATGTGGAAAAAGTTAGCTGGTCTAACCTAGCCATGGCGTGACCAACATACAGGGACAGAGGTAAAAAGAGAAGGCAAAGAATGAACATTTATTAAGATCATATCATATGAAGCTAAGTGCTTTTAATGGATTATGTCATTTATTCTTTACAAAACCTTGATACTATTCCTAGTTTACATATGAAGAAAATGAGGCATGGAAAAGTTAACTTGTCTAAGTTCACACAACTGGCTAGTTTGACCCTAAACATTGTGCTCTTCAGAGGTGCTCAGGGCCAATTCCTGGGGAGCCTTGGCAGCAAAGCGCCTTAGCAGCAGGGCACTGCCCCAGGCCAAGACAGGAAAGAGATGCACAGAAAGTGATTCTCCAAAGAGCAGACTAGTACTGCCACCTCCCTGGAGATCCAGATTCACCTACAACGGTCCCAGGACTGTCTGCTGACTCCTGGCCCCCACAACAGCAAAAGGGACTGCCTGGATTTAACTAAAAAGATTGGGGGTATCACAGTATCATTTTTGTGGTGTTTGCAGTAGTAAGATGCTCATAGGGAGACAGAAATCTGAAGAAAAGTCAAAGTGATCCGTGACAAAATGATGTATGTTGTCACAAGAAGCCAGGACAGAGTCAGGAGACCTCTCAAATGTCTTCTTAAACAATTCACTTCCCTTTTCCAGACTCCCATTTCTTTATCCATAAAAGGAGAGGGTTAACTAGCTGAAGCTTTCTCCCTGCATGAACAGACCATCTGTGAAAGACCATGCTTCCAGTTGCCTCTGGATGTTCGGGGATGACACCACAACTAGCTGAAGATGATCATATTAGGGATATGCCTTAGAATGTCCTGGTGTCTGGCTCAGGAATGAAACAATATAATAAAACCTTGGATGTTTTGGAAGCTTTGTGCTATAAAATATGCCTTTTAATAAGGAAACTCTTATCAGCACAAGTTTCTCTTATGAGGAACTCTGATCTCGGCTACTTTCTGCACATTCGTAGATGTGCTCTCCTTCACATAGAGCACTGTAAATGACCCCTTGGTTCTCACTCCTTCTGTATGTACCTTGGAAGCCCTGTCTCTGCTGGGACCCTCTGCTTCCAGCCTGGGCCTAGATCATAATCTTTTTATAGCTCCTTCTGCCTCAGGAGAGAGGTCTAGGCACACAGTTGATCTCTCTTCTAATCCTCATTACTGACCTCTTTTAAATGTTTTACAAAAGAGTGTAATAAAGGAAGGAAGACAGCAATCATTGAACCCTTAAGGTGTGTCAGACATTAGGCTAAATGCTTTTCCCTATAATTTAATGTAATCCTTCTAACAATTCTTGAGGTAGCTACTATTACTATTCCAATTCTACAGATGGAGAAATTAAGTCTTAAAGAGATTAAAGTGATTGCCCAAGGTCATAAAATGATTCTAAAGCAGGTCACCTGACCCCAGAACCTAAGCTTACAACCACGGCAATGTCCTATGGCTGCCCAAGTGGCCCTTATCTCCTCATACTTGACCTATTTGGGGCATTTGGTGAGCCAAGACCCAGAAACCATTAAAATCTGAGTGTAGTTTTCTATTTTTAGAAACCTTCCAGTGAGGACATTCTTTTACTTCCTTTGTAGCTTGGGCAGTTTTTACATCCTACACTCTCTAGTCTTCCTTCAAGTCTTCAAAATCTGAATTCTTTCCTACAGTGGGTAGGACCAGTTCTTGTGTGCTTTCAATGGGGTTTCGGAACACACCCTCTGTGAAATGATTGCTCCCACAGAGGAAGTTTACTGCTGATGTCCTTTAGGTCTTATTCTACAACTAGATTCATTCACACATATTTATTGAGCACCTACTAACTTCAAGGTAGTTTTAGGCACGAGGAATACAGTGGTGGACAATACAAACAGACTGCCCTCATGGACCAACATTAAGCTGGTAGAGAACAAGTCCCTCTCATATTTTCTGATAAATTCTATTTTTCTTGCTTTCTAACCAAACTGTCATGTTCCTCTTATGATTCTTAAGTTAAATTCAATATTTCAAAGGATTACTTTACAATTGTCTGGACTCTTCCTCTTCTTGAATCCTAGAGCCACATCTGGTTGCAAACTTAAGATGTATGATATTCTCCTTTCAGGCCAAAGGGAAGGGAATGAATATTAGTGAGCACCTATAGTTTGTGCTGGTATTTGCTTTTTTAAAACAGTTTTATTTATTTATTTATTTATTTATTTATTTATTTGTGAGGAAGATCAGCCCTGAGCTAACATCCATGCTAATCCTCTTCTTTTTGCTGAGGAAGACCGGCCTGAGCTAACATCTATTGCCTGCCTCCATCTTTTTTTCCCCCAAAGCCCCAGTAGATAGTTGTATGTCATAGTTGCACATCCTTCTAGTTGCTGTATGTGGGACGCGGCCTCAGCATGACCGGAGAAGCGGTGCGTCGGTGGGTGCCCGGGATCTGAACCCAGGCCGCCAGCAGCGGAGCGCGCACACTTAACCGCTAAGCCACAGGGCCGGCCCAGTGCTGGTATTTATAATACATTGTCTCATTTAGTCATCACAAAAGCATAAGGAGGCCAAAGTTATTATCTTCATTTTCAAATGAAATACCTTGAAGGTCCTAGAGGTCAAATTACAGAGCTTGAAAAAATGCACAGTTTGGAGGTAGCTGCCAGGTACAATGCAGAGGGCCTCCTTTCCTTCCCAAGTGAGAAGGGAATCATTCTCCTGTAGCCGCAGGCTCAGGGAAATGCCAGGCAGCAGCCAGCATTTCCCAGGTCTGAGAGGAGGGTCAGAGCAATGACTGAATCATAACGCACTGTTTTGTGTGCCCGACAACTCCCCTAGGCTCTTCACATGGAATCAGGAGGCAGCCAAACTGCTTGCGCATCTACCTTTGGAGTCTTATTCCTTGATTCTTAAATATTTTCACTCTTCAAACATTCTCTTGACTGAAAGGCAGATTCTGTGTTAATGGACAATTAGGTAAAGGAGGAAGGAAGCTGAGCTGATAGGGAGACAGAGTCCAGAGGCAAACTTTTCCTAACTCCCAAAATTGAAGCACTGATCCTCACACTGCCAACTCTAGACAATTTGGGAGGCAGGGAATTTTGCCTCTGGAATCTCTCTACCCAACTACACAGTTGGGATTGGGACTCAGCTCAGATGGCTGAAGATCTCAAATTATAGAAACAGGATCTAAGCCTGTACCACACACAGAGCAAACGTCAAATCATCATGATATTATGAAATTTTCCTTGCTAAACATGAAATCTCTATATCCCAATTCTCTAGAGCGCTACATTCAGCTTGGAGAGGATTCATCTATTCTAGCAAAAGGATTGTATTTATCTAACCTCTTTTACTTAGTTTTTTTTTTTTTAAGATTATTTCACCTATAATGAACATAAGGAAAGTACTAGAGGGAAAATTGAGAATACTGAGCTTTCTAAAAATGCATTTCTAAGTTATCTTTATATTTTATGTGCTTAGTATTTCTCGTATAATGGCTTATTTTGTAGGGTGGGTAGAAGTAGGGCTTATTCATCATTTTGAGGAAATATACTCTGGGTTATCTAAGTGGGTGACGAGTTAGATGCTAATTGACCCATTGTTGGTCCTAGAAAAACTTTGTGCTGTGTTTGCATGTTTTTGAGGTAAATCAAAGGATGATATCAACTGTGAGTCACTCAAAAGATTTTGTATTCACCGAGCCCGGCCTAAGGGCTATATAAAGAGGGACATTCAAGGAACTTGTACGGAAAAGGAACAGAGTGAATTGGGTTCAACCTTTCAGGAGAAGTTTAGAATGAAGTTTCTTCTGTTACTGGTCCTGCAGGCGGCTGTCTCTGGAGCTGTTCCCCTGACTAACAACACAGGCCCAGGCGAAAGTGATGTGGTGTTTGCGCAAGTGAGTATTGACACTCTAGTATTTATCTAGCCTGATTTTTGTCTTTAAGATTTATTTTGAAAAGTGTCTAGTTGAAAACTGGTTTAGGAGACTATTTGCTTTTAGTATTGAATTTTTCTTTGTCAAAGAGGAATATAAAAAAAGATATTGGTTTTGAAAGAGTGTTATAAAATTGGTGAGTGAATTTGTCCCTTCTACACAAAGATTTGGCCAAGGAGTTTTAGTTCAAAATAATTGGAGTTCTACTTCTGTTATGGTATTTTAGATTAATCATTTAATACCAGTTAATAACCTGAGATTTGAACAACGGCTTGATTAATTTGTTAACCACTTGAGGCTGCCATGATAATTCAAGAATACTGTTTACTTTCACTCATCCCAGATATTTCTTCATGAGCATTTTTTAAAAATAGATTTTTTTTCCCAATTCATTTCTTTTCCCTAATTATATAAGTTTGGAAGATTGCTCCATTTTCTAAGGCTTTTAACTTGGAATTTGTCATAGTTGTCAATTGTGTTGAGCTTTGGATTTTTAAGCAAGAAAATTTTATCCCAACTTAAATTAATAATTTACACATCCTGACAATAAAAGTTTTGCTGCCTTCTAACTGCCATGATATACTAGATGCTGAAATAGGTTTTAAAGAGTAGAAACAAATTCTAACAGGTAGAGACATAAAAGTGTTTTCAGTGGGCTTCCAGGAATTAATCTTGCTAATAGTTTATGACACATCTTTGACAGCACAGAAAATTAAGAATTTTTTCTCGTTATAATTCATTGTCCAATGCCTGGTTCCAAAACATCAATGTGCAGTTGAGTCATACAGAGCTCCAGCAGAAACCTGTCTGTGTGTAATAATGTATCACATAATGCGTTTTTTTCCAGAGGTACTTGGTAGACTTTTATGGCCTTGAAATGGAGACAATTCCAACTGCAAAAATGAAGGTCAATAGGAACTTCATGGAGGATAAAATTCAGGAAATGCAGCAGTTCTTGGGGCTAAAAGTGACTGGGAAATTGGACCCATCTACTCTTGACATGATGCACAGACCTCGATGTGGAGTGCCCGATGTTCGTAATTTCAGGGTAATGCAAGGGAGGCCAGTATGGAAGAAACGTTTTCTCACCTACAGGTAACATTGTAGCTATACATTTTTCTACTTTCCCGTAGGTCTGACTTCTAGAAACCCAAACCATTTAGATATAGCTCTAAATCTGGAAGTAGATAAGAAGCTTCCCTCAATTGCTAATACTATCCCTGTGTTAAAATTCATTATCTCTAGAAGGAAGGATTGTTCACTCAAGAAAGAGTTGTTTGGCTTGCCAGTCCAAAGCAGAGTAGGAAGCCTGCACACAAAAAGAGAATGAAGCCAGATCTACAATAAATATGAGGCAGGAGAAAGTTTTATATACTAGTCAAGACGAATAAATACAGACATCCGGGAGCAGGGGCAAAAGGCGTGGGCTTCTCTGAATGTAAATCCTTCACATTGATGACCTATAAAACATAAATGAGTAGAAATCAAGTTAGAGTCTGTTGAAGAAAGAAATTGCCCAAGGATAAATGTTCCTGTAGTTAATGAAGCAAATTTTTGTTATCTAGACGATTAATTTATGAAACAATTTATTCTCCCATCATGCTAGCATAAATGAAGTATTGTAATAGGATAAAATTAACACATGGTTTCCATATTTTTCCTCTCTTTTGTTTTGCCGGTGAAGAATCAACAATTATACTCCAGACATGAGGCCTGAGGATGTTGACTATGCCATCCAGAAAGCTTTTCAAGTGTGGAGTGATGTGACTCCACTGAAGTTCAAAAAGATTAACGCAGGCGAGGCTGACATTATGATACAATTTGCATATGGAGGTAGAGAACTTGGACTTACTTCATCTGTATCATTTGGCATGACCTATAGCATATAGAGATGGACTAATTTTCTTTCCTTGTTAAAAAGCTCATGGAGACTACAGTCCTTTTGATGGTAGAAATGGAATTCTAGCCCATGCTTTTGGACCTGGACCTGGTATTGGAGGAGACACACATTTTGATGAGGCTGAAATCTGGACTAAAAGCTATAAAGGTAGGCAAAACAAAACCACAGGAAAACTCTAACAAATTCTAAGTTACATGCTGATTTTGAAAGGTTACAGTCTGAGAATGGATTGTAGAATGGGAAAACTTGTTCTGATTATAATTTAGAAACTCAACAAAATTTAACACTTTGTCTCAATTTCACCCTCAATAAATTGAGGATATTGGAGTATATTATCTTCCAAATCAGTTCTAAGAATCCATGAGGATGAGCTAGTTTGTTAGTATAAACTCGGGAACCTTAAGAACCATAGTATGGAAAGATAAAAGCTGTTATTTAGGTGATCGGTTTTTGACAGTGCAATTCATAAACTCCAGTAAACACAGATACTAATTCTGTGTATGCCAATTATCCTAGGATAGGGTGGTCATCTGCACGATCCATTATATACTGACAGTTTCTTAGATTCATAGTGACACAGAAAGATGAAGTTACATCATAGAGAATTTAGAGATCCCTATAGAGAAACACAAGATTCTGTGGTCACGTAGTCTTTTGTGGTTCTGGGATAAAAATTTCAGAATGCCCAACTGGTCACTTAACAATACCTCGTGTGCATTACAGAGGGGCTGCAACTCACCATCCCTCTCAGACAGTTGTGGGAGGGACATAACTAGTCTCCCCTGGTATTTGGTGGAATTGTTATCCATTGGAAAATTCAAGCCATCATTTCAGAAGCCTTCCTAATCTTTCTATTGGAAATTCTAGATTATGTGACCGACTCATGAGGAAAGTAAATGGAGAGAAAGTCATCAAGAAAATGCTGTATTCAGCATCCCCCTCTCTCTGGCTGATATTGCACACATTGGATGGCAATATTTTTATAGACCAGAGAGGTTGTTTGTTTTGGTCTGACACATGGCCTAAAGCTTATAAAATTCTTAACAGAGAAGATGACTTTTGCATTGTCAAAAGATGACAGATATAGGATTAGGTCCTCACTTACCTGCAAATCCTCAGCTAGACATGTTAAATTTGTCTAAACTGTATCCAAGGTTATTTGGGGTTTATAATCTTTTCACTCGATATGGGAGACTTGTGCCAGTTAGCCTCGCAAAATGTTTTAGAATTCTAAAGATCCTTAGAAAAATCATTTAATACAGATCTTTACAGATAGAAAAAATTGAGAGCAAGAAAAGGTTAGTGGCTAGCCTGTGGTAAAGCTGGGGCCAGGGCATGCATTTCCCAGCAGTTTTCTTAGCCCGGTGTATACTTTCCATGTATGGCAACATACTTGTCCATGTTGCCTTATTTTTAATTGGCTCAATTCTAAAGGTAAATTTTCAAAAAGCTAAATTATTTCTGAAAATTTTAACTGAAAATGCTCATCCTCAGCCTAATTTTTAGACCCAATAAATTAAATGAACAAGTCACACAATGCTTACTGAGTTTCTATTACAGTGTTAGGTTATAGGGGTGTTTGGATACAGAGATGAAGAGGGCACAGTCCTGCCCTTGAGAAGCCCACGATCTATTGGGAAACAGAACACAAAGAGAAATCCATTATTTTGAGATGAGGACCAATGGTGGTCTTTCGTACAAAGTATTATAGGAATTGGGAATAGGATAAAATGAGGTTTAGGCCAAATTGTAAAAGGCTTTGTTTACCCATCCCAGTCTTACGCAGAGTGGAGAGAATGAGTCTTTGCTTCTTCTTTCTCATTATTTGAGAAAAGAGGGGAAAGCATGTCTAAGTTAGTTGCCATAGCCCTATGTTATAGGGAATGCTTGGAGGATCTGTGTTCCTAGATACCCGCCCCCAACAGAGAGGTGTGCATGGACTCTATGTTCACATTTGGGTACTAGAGAGTATGTCAAGGTCAGGCCCTGCAGCTAAGTGTTGTGTGACCCTGGGAAGTCAGTTCTTCTGAGCTTTAATTTTGCCATAGAAAAAGAAAGACAAAAATGAAGGCATTAGACTAGAACACAGATTAAAAAAAATAATGGTTGTTATTCATATCTCACGAGAATTGAGAAATTTGAGAGAAAGGATACACTCCTCTCTCTTACCTATAAAGGTGGATTCTCTAGAATATACAGAAAAAAAAAAAGAACAGGCACGACTATAACTTGGTACTGTCAATATGTCTAAATTGTAAGCATAGTCTCTTTGATTTCATTTGGAATCATATATAGTAAAAAGATGAGGCAAGAAATGTGGATGTGAATCTTGGCTCAAGCACTTAATTTGGTCAATTAATCTTACTGACACTGTGTGCTCATTTGTAAATAGAGAGCCTTGTGCCTTCCTTTCAGTTGCATGAGGATTAGACATAATGTGGTATATTTTTCAGTGACTCATAGTACCTGGAACTTAATATGGCCTTATATTTGGGTTTAGTAGAGGATGACAACTGAAGACTTTTCTATATCCGCTGAAGGCTAATCAAGAGTGAAAGCAGAACAGGGTCATGGGAGCTGGGAATGATTTAGCAGTAATGAATACAGCTGTGAGTTATTCTAGAAATTTTCACAACAGAACATATTTCACTTGTCTGTTAGTGCAGTGGTTCTTAATCAGAGGCAATTTTGTCCCCAAGAGGACATTTGACAATGTGTGGAGACACTTTTTTGGTTGTTAAATCTAGAGGGAGGTTTGCTACTTGAATTTATCCCTAACACCAGAGATTTCTAAACATCTGTAATGCACTGAACAGCCCCGACAACAAAGAATTATCTGGCCTATAATGTCAATAGTGCCGAGGTTGAAAAATTTTATGCAAGAAGGAGGAGAAATAAGTAAAAGATTCCCAAATGTGTCCCTTCTCATTGTGTCAGATGTTGTGTCATTGTTCTCTAGACGCCAATATATTTCACTGCTCTTTCCCCTTTTTGATTTGTTTCCTCTTAGGCACAAACTTGTTTCTAGTTGCTGTTCATGAGCTTGGCCATTCCTTGGGTCTTGACCATTCTAATGACCCAAGCGCCATAATGTTCCCCACCTACAGTTATGTTGACCACAACACATTTCACCTCTCTGCTGATGATATACGTGGCATTCAGTATCTCTACGGTGAGTTGAATTTCATTATCATTTTGCCTTATAAAGATATTCACTCTTATGAATAGTCTCATAATATCTGCATTTGGATGAAACTTTAACATGTACTCTTTTGAACCCCATAAAAACTCTGTGAGGTAGGTAGCACAGATATTAGCTTCATTTTACAGGTGAGCACAAGAGACCTAGTATGTTAATGCCAGAGCCAGAGGCAGGACCTGAATCTTCTGGCCTCAAGTCTGTTCTTTCTATCCAACATACCATTGTCTATTGAAGAAGATGCACAGAGAAATAATCTAATCAGAACAGGAAAACCAGAGTGATCAGAATTTTCTCCTCCATGATGTTGCAACCGCTTGGGGAAAAAAAATCCTTATTGTATGCTTCCTGTGAATGTTATAGAAAGCTTAAATTGCTTTTTATGCATTTTTCATCAAGAAAATCAAATGTTTGAAACAGATTATTTCTTCCTCTTGTGAACTAAAATGGAGATTTTTTTTTCTAATGCTTCTTGAAATGTATTTTCAGGACGTCCAGAAAAGCGTCAACCCTCATCAAATCCCGACAATAGAGACCCAACTATCTGTGATCCCAATATGAGTTTTGATGCTATCACTACAGTGGGAGATAAAATCTTTTACTTTAAAGACAGGTAGGATCATTTTCATATCTAACCAATATTAATGGCTCAGTCCTTAGAATTTTTTATCAGAGAATAGTGGGAAATGAAGTAGATGAAACTTGTGAGTAGGGACTTCGACTTGATTCTGTAGGCAGTGAAGAGATCTTGATTTTGAAGCAGGAGAGTGCTGTGATTATATTTGTTTTAACTAGAAAGCTGGCTTGTAAAAAATAGATTTACAGAAGGAATCTGGGTTAGGGAAAGATAAGACGGAAAGCAGAGAAGCCAGATGATTATAATCATAGGTAAAAATGGTGAAGTCTAGAATTAAAGCTGTGACAGAGTACCTATTTAAAAGGCTCGGTTCTTGATAATAGAGAAAAAATTCCAGGATGGCTTATGGTTTCTGTCTTAGAACACAGATTGAAGCAGATGTCGGAGGGGTGGGAGAGTGGAGAAGATTAGTATTTGGTAGGTAAGACAAATATTTTTCATTTTTGAGATTATAAAACTGAACCACTTGAGGTTAAGTGACTTTCTTTAGATTACAAAACTGGTGAATGGATTGTGGAGTCAGACTAGATAGAACCTTGATCCCTTGCTTCCAAACTGGAGGGTATTTCCATATACTAGTTTGCCTGTTAAGATCATTGTTATTATCAAAGAGTTGATTAAGTTCATTTCCTTGTGGTGCTCCTACACAAATATCTGTGGAACAGAATGTGAAGATAATGGAAAGAAACATTAGGTCGTTTCATAAGTCCTTCCCACTCACATTTCATGGTTCTTGATTCTCCAACAATTTTTCAACGTTTTAAATTTTTTTCATGTCAGGTTCTTCTGGTGGAAGCTTCCTGAGAATCCAGAGATCAGTGTTAGTTTAATTTCTTCTTTATGGCCAACCTTACCTTCTGGCATTCAAGCTGCTTATGAAATTGGAGCCAGAAATGATGTTTTTCTTTTTAAAGGTAATTCCAGTGTTTCGTTTTGCTGTTGAGTCTACTTCCAAGAAAGAGAACAACTTAAGGAAATACTACTACTTTTTAAGGAAATACTACTACTTTTTATAAAATAGACCCAAAAAGCACTCTATATTTTTTTAATGGTGACACTGAACTATAACCTCAAATAGCTTAAATACTTAGGTAATACACAAAACTTGTTGGAAAAGTTTGTAAAATGTGAGATGTTAGTACTTGTGAAAAAAACATACAGAACCATAGGAGATTGAACATGTTTAAGAACAAGGAGAAACACATGTTAAGGGGAAAAGATGGGAAAAGAATGATGCTGTTTTTGGTGAGTCAGTATTTCTATTACTCTTTCTGTATGATTCCAATGTATCCTTTTTCTTTGTCTTCACAGATGATAAGTATTGGTTGATCAGCAACTTAAGACCACAGTCAGATTATCCCAGGAGCATACGTTCTTTGGGCTTCCCCTACTCTGTGAAAAAAATTGATGCAGCTGTTTTTAACCCACTTCTCTATAAGACCTACTTCTTTGTAGATAACCAATATTGGAGGTGAGCTGTAATGGCTGGTAGTTTGACCCCTAAGATTTGTGAAACAGGCAGGGAATGCGGTTTTCCAGAAGGTAGTTTTTCTATGCAAATTCCCAAATATCCTTGACCTTCCTGGGAGAGAGACCAAGAGAATGTAGGACTGGAATAGTTATTTTCAACCTAGTTCTTTTCTCTGTACTTACTGATGTAAGATAACAATAATGTGTTTTTAAAGAGGAACACTAAATAAAATGTCGTGTTATTAATCATAGTGGAAGTACATTGGAAAATAGTGGTATAGATATACGAGACCTCGTATTTACAGTCAGTTTGGAGGGTGTATGGATTTTCAGATTCCTTTCTATAACCATTGGAGCCAAGAAGACAAAATGAGGAAACCATTCTCTGAATGACAGCAGATCCTGCAAGGTTTTCACTAACAGGAATAGACAGTCAGGCTCTATAAAGCAAGACAGAGCACTGGTGGAAGAATTGTGGAGGAGTGCAAAAAGTGCTTGACAAGAAGTCAGGAACTCTAGGGTTTGAGTCCTTTAGGGACTAAGAGTAAATCAGTGAACTGTTTATTGGTGCAGTTTAAACCCTTGCAGGAAGAGTCTTTCAGGAGAAAATAAGGTGGGTTTTGTGGTTCATGTCATGAAATGCCAAGCTTTATGCTATGGAATCCATTTGCTGATTGAGTTCCTGCTTATTATTTCTTTGTTCAGGTATGACGAGAGGAGACAATTCATGGACCCTGGTTATCCCAAATATACTACCACATACTTCCAGGGAATTGGACCTAAAATTGATGCCGTCTTCTATTATAACAGTAAGTAGATTAGGAAACCATGAAGATATGGGAAATCCCTTTTTGAAACACTGAACTGATTATAAAGCCTCCAAGCTCAAAGAATGGGGCTCCAAATTGGAAAAGAACAGGACTCTGCAGTTCTCCATACAGCCGCAGAGGGAAAATTCACAGTGTGCTTGGCTCAGAATAGGTGGGGTAGAAGAATGATCAAAGTAGAACCAACAGTGTGTTCCTAGGGTGATCTAGCGGGCAGGGGAGTGTGATTGCTGTCACTTCCATGTATCTGAGTCTCTGGAATTTCCAGTCACATCGAGCTGCACATTATATGTGAGTGAGCATATGGCAGCCAAGATTCAGGCAAGCTGGAGTGTTTTATACTTTTTATATCTTGCAGTTTTACTTTCTTTTCTGCCCCTTCTACCCTTCATAGGCTCTTACGGATGAGGCTGAGGGTGGGACTAGAGAATCTTAAGTTTCTGTTTGTGAATATCTTCAAGCCAGGTCAACCTAAGCAAAACTATTGACTGGGCCAAGATATTTTGTTTTTTATTTCCACCCCTGTGTCTTTTTTACTTCCTCCATCAAGGCTTTTGTGTGCTCTACCTGGGCCCAATCTTCTCTCTCCCACTCTGAGTTCTCCACCTGGAGTATGTCTTTCAAAAGCATTTGTATCCTAGTAGTCAGCCTGTAAGACCAAACCACCTTCTCAATAAAATTAATGAACATATTTAATGGTGAAATGACTGGCAGTAGGCAGATATCTGGGGGCGGGATACCCAGCCAAGAGATCTAACATCTATATCCTCAAATCAGACCGTGTCTAATCTAGATCATCTATGAAAACATAGGTCTATGTTATTTTTTTTAAAGAAATACAAGCGAAGAATTAAACTATGCAATTTGTTTTCATTTTTAGGACACTACTATTTCTTCCAAGGATCCTACATGCTTGAATATGATGTCATATACAATCGTGTCACCAAAATGCTGAAAAGCAATACTGAGTTTGGTTGTTAGGAATGGTATAATTAATAGTGTTTGTCAATTCATTTCAGTTTAATAAGTATTTATTTCATACTTGCTATGTGCCCAGTGTACCATTATATAGTGATATGTATCATAAAATAAGGTAAAATCTATAGGTGATAGATAAATGATTATATAGTTAAGTAATTCTACAAAATACATAAGATTTTTTGATTTTGAAAATCCTCATTGTCAATTTCTACTTGACTCTACCATTAAGTTTGAAAATAGACACCTTTAAAGGCCAAGAGAATCTTGGTTCCTAACATCCTTGAACTGAGAAATTATAATTATTTCTCTGGCTTAAATAAAATTGAGAAATATTAGTTTTGGGGCCGGCCTGGTGGCGTAGTGGTTAAGTGTGTGCGCTCTGCTTTGGTGGCCCAGGGTTTGCAGGTTCAGATCGCAGGGACGCACCGACGCACTGCTTGTCAAGCCATGCTGTGGCAGCATCCCATATAAAGTAGAGGAAGATGGGCACGGATGTTAGCCCAGGGCTAATCTTCCTCAGCAAAAAGAGGAGGCTTAGCATTGGATGCTAGCTCAGGGCTGGTCTTCCTCAAAAAAAAAAAAAAAAAGAAAGAAATATTAGTTCTAATGACCATTAAATATTTCAGCAAGAGCATCATTTTAATCCTTTTAGAATAAAAATATACTATACCTTAAATTTTAAAAACGACAATTAATGTAAGTAATATATAAGTAAATTATACAATTATGGTGGTAATCTAATTTTATTCTTTTGTCAGTGTTGACTTTTCTAATATTGTATATAAAGTATATATATATATTTTTTTGCTCAAATAAAAACTTTGAAAGAAAGTATTTGGTTTTTAAAATTTCTTTCTTAAAAAACAGAATATGTATTTTGAAAATAATCCTGGACCTACTGCTAAATAAATCAAGTCTCTATGTGCCTGTACCAAGGGGTGAATAGAAATATAGCAACTGGGAAAAGGAAAGGTTATATTTGCTTGGACCACTTGTCTAAGGCCACCTGAATCCTTAGTCTCAAGTCAAGAAAGCATTCTCCAGATTGCATACAACCCCCAGCAGCACCTACAGTGTATGACCACAAGCCTGGAGAGGACATGGGATGAAATGGGGACTTCCATTCTGGTAAAATTTCTATTGCAGCTCAAGTCTCAGAATGGGTTATGTAACTGCTGTGTGACCTTGACGAGAGATTAAATCTAAGCTTCCTCAAATTTAGGAGTAAATATTAGTGGTACCCACCTCATAGATTTATTGTGAAAAAAATGATGCATCATACACATACCATGTATGCTCACCAGGTGAACACACCATGCTGGTAGCTTGGCCTGCCTTGTATCAGTTTTCTTTACTAACTTGACATACTTTCTCCCTATTTTCTGGATTGTACACATATTAAAGACCCCACTAATATCTTAAGGTTTGTGGAATGCGTGCAGCTTTCAATTTATTTGCAGACTATTGCTGATTGATGTACTCAAGATCCAAGAAATGGTCAAGTCCATTTCAGCTCAGATGATCTGTTTTGAGTAGTGGAATGAACTGAGATCATGGGAAATATGAATATCAGAAAGATTCTAGATGGTGAAGGAGCTCTCAGTCCTTCATAGTTTAGATCCACCCTCAAGTATGTGCTCCTTCAGTATAATAATCCCAGAGTTGTCTTTACAAGGAGTAGGGTCAAGTCCTTCTTAGAATAAATGTTATTTCCCCACAGAAAACTAGATGCTGGACTTCCTTCAAAAGAAGAAATTTCCCCACATGATTAGCACCAAAAGAAAAATTACTGATATCTGGGTTGAGTTGTCTTTGGCCTTAGGTAATTCAGGAGGAAGCAATTTCTCTTAAATGATGACTGCATTAAAATGAAAGCCCAGGGTACAACCCTTTCAGTCCCATAAGTGCTCATGAGAAGTGACTTCAAATAATAAAAAGTGAACACTTCCTCCCTCTACATTTGTTATATTTTCAAATTTTGATTAACAAATTCTTACAATGTTAACAATGTGCTAGGCACTGTTCTAAGTGCTGAACACACACACACACCTACACAAATAGCTCATTTAATCCTCATTACAAACATGAGATAAATACTATCATTATCATTTTTCAGATGAGGAAACTGAGGCCCTGAGAGGCGAACTAACTTGGCCAAGGTCGCATGGCCTTGGAGCTACAATTAAAGGCAGGCAATTTGATTTCAGAATCTATTTATTAACCATCACAAAATTCTGCCTTTCAAATTTATAAAGTGGAAAAAAATCCAACAAAGTAAAACCTCCTGGCACTCCACTCTACACCGCTTTGTACTTTTACTTGACCTTTCAATTAAAAGGTCTTTATTATTTTTTTTTAATAATTTTTTTTGTGAGGAAGATCAGCCCTCAGCTAACATCATGCTAATCCTCCTCTTTTTGCTGAGGAAGACTGGCTCTGCGCTAACATCTATTGCCAATCCTCCTCCTTTTTCTCCCCCAAAGCCCCAGTAGATAGTTGTATGTCATAACTGCACATCCTTCTAGTTGCTGCATGTGGGATGTGGCCTCAGCGTGGCCGGAGAAGTGGTGCGTCGGTGCGCTCCCGGGATCCGAACCCGGGCCACCAGTAGCGGAGCATGCGCACTTAACCACTAAGCCACAGGGCAGGCCCGTAAAAGTTCTTTAAAATGTCTTAAGAATTCTTTGTGCGTTCAGTTTGGGGAATATCACTTTGCCTTGGAAAAGGTAGTAGTGTTATCTTGCTAATGTCGGGAATAAAACATCCAAGACTTGGAAATTAAAAGTCTCTTTACAATGGAGCGCTGGATATTGTCTAGCAGATCTTCTGGAAAGCAGCTGATTTTATGAGGGTGTGCATCTTTGACTTTCCATCAACCAGGCTATTTTGTAACTCTATAAGGAGAGAAATAATAGAAAACTAATAATAATGCAAATGGTTCTTTTCTATAGCAATGCAAATAAATGCCACCATTAGAGATACAACTGATTTCTGCCTGGTAGAATAGACAACCTCAAACACTATGTTTTATTGCCCTATAAGATATTAATGCATTTATGCCATTAGAAAATTTACTTTAGCATTTGTTACTGCATATATATCTGTTCTTCAGATCCTTCTTTGAACTAATTCCCTCATTAGTTAGTGAGTTGAATAATATCTTTAACATGTTCATTTTATATTTACATGAAAATCTTTTTTGAAAACTCTATGTTAGCACTAGCTATCCAACAGGGAAGAGCACAGGCCTGCCCATCTTTTGGAGTACCAGGTGGAGAAGACCACATAGTAGTAGGCAACTCCTCAAGCCTGAAAGAACTAGAATCTAGTTTTCCCAATCCCATCTACCTCCTGACCCTCTAAAGTGTAGTGAGGGACACTATCCTTTTACAAAAGAAAGAAAAAGATATGATGCATCTGGGTGGCATGTAATTTCCGAGGTTCAATTTTGACTTTGTTCATTCATTCAAAAGTATTTATTGAGAATCTGCTAGATTTTAGACTCTGTGATAGGTATGAGGGATCCAAAGATGACTACAACAATCTCTGCCCTCAAAGCCACGAAATGTAGTAAAAACATAAAAAAGGCACTTAAACAGCAAATCATTATGCAATGAAGTAGGTAGTCTACTAGAAGTGTGTACAAGGTTGAAGAGTGAGTCAATCCCTGCAGAAGGGTTCAGGGACCACAGAATGCTTATAGTGGAAAACAATACTTGAGGTGTGTTTTAAAACATGAGAGGGGGGCCCGTCCAGTTGCATAGTGGTTAACTTCACGTGATTGGCTTCGGCAGCCTGGGGTTTCATAGGCCCGGATCTCGGGCGCAGACCTACACGTGGCTTGATACATGTGGCAGGCATCCCACATATAAAGTAGAGCAAGATGGGTGCGGCTGTTAGCCCAGGGCCAATTTTCCTCAGCAAAAAGAGGAGGATTGGCAACAGATGTTAGCTCAGGGCTAATCTTCCTCACCAAATAAAAACATGAGAGGGATTCATTACGTGGAAAAGTGAGCTAAAGGGATTCTAGGCAGAAGAATAATCCTCTTCAAAGACCCACTATATACAAAGAGCAGTTTTTGTAAAATTGTAGCATAAAATATGAAGGAAGGAATGGCAGGAGATAAGATAGTAGATCATGAAGGACCTCTACTGTCATGAGTTTGATTTTTATCTCATAAGTGATATGGCTTTATTGAAGGGCTTTAAAATAGGAGAGTACATGCAAGAAATGCTGCACTTATGAATTATAGTCATGAGGAAGGTGGAAGTGACATTATAGTGGGGAGGACATTATAACAGTGAGAAGGGAGAATTAATAGGGTTTGATGACTGTGTGTGAAGTATGACTGAAAAGGAATAATATAGGATGATATTTAAAGATCTGGTTTAAGAAGTGGTCTTGAACGGGGAATAGAGAAGGAAAAGCAGGTTGTGGAGGAGGTGGTGGTGTGGTTGATGGAATGGAGATAATTGAATCTGCTGAGTCTGGGGAGCCTTGAGACATCCAGGTGGGGATGTCCTGTAGGTAATGGGATGAGATCAAACCCCAGTAAAGAGGTCTGGACCAGAAATTAACATATTGGATTCTTTAGTGCATAGGCAAAAGATAACAACTTAAAAGTTAATGGAATATCTCCGGAGGAGCATTAGTAATAGTCTTTCTTGTATGTGTCATCCCTAGGGGTGATTTTCTAGATTATAGCATTTTTATTAGCATATCAAAATGTTTGAACAAGATTATAATGTACCACAGGAAAAAGATTGTGCTTACTCATGTGAGAAAATTTCCAGCTCGTGGGGATTAAAATCTAAAGCTTTTATATTTTTATGTGTTAGTATACAAATATAACAGCCAAGGATCACTTTTGTTTCTGGCAATATTGGAGTAACTAAGCCTGGATTTTCCTCCCTTCTGTGGTTAATTAAAAACTGGGTGAAATGTATGAAACAGCTGATTCCATTCATTGGGCACCAGGTAGTGTAATCCAGAGAGCAAGGAAACAAATGATGCAAGACCAAAAATCTTCCATGCTTTCTATCTTAAGGCTATTTCCAGAACACAGCACAAGGGAAGGGAACCCAACAGAATACTGTGGTCTCACTCAGTAGAGGAGACAGAGATTATAGTTAAAGGAGGTGAAGGTGGCTATCATTTGTAGAGAAGAGTAAGGAAGAGAAAGGAGCTCATAGAAAAAGCATTCCAGAAATTGAGAGGAGTACCCTTGAGTCTGTTGATGAATACTAAGCTGCATATGCACCACCAAGGAGATGTAGACTGAAC